TAAATATGCATTGAAGTTTACTTAGATATGACAACTTATACGAAGTTATTGATGTCCATCCTAGACATAGAAGATTGCAGAACAACTCTAAATACAAAGGAAATAGTTTGTACTGTTGAACAATATCACACATCACTAATAAGTAACATACCTTTTCAGCAAGCTGCTGAGCCTGAGAAAATGCTGTTGGAATCATAGTTTTCTTGGCAGGAGTCTCCTGTGCATCCTGAAGGATAGGTAAAAACAAGTTACTGTTAGGCTCAAAGTAAGCATCAACCTACAACAAAAGTTTGTTGAGCTTCGATGTTGAGTGAACACTTGTGATATTGACACATTACATGATGATGTGTTGAAGTGACCAGAGCCCTTACTACCTGAGTTTTCTGTGCGCTCCTACAGATGGCGCCCGGTGTGTTGATCTCCGCGTGACTGCTGATCCTGGCTCCGATCCGGTCAGATGTCGGTGTCTGCGAAGACTTCCTGGGGTCAGAGTGAGCCCCACTTTTCGTCTGTGTCTGCGGTTTGTTACTTGCAAAAAGCTGTATAACCAAACAAGAGGACAATAGCAAGTTCAAACATCATACTGTTAATTTTTTTTTAATTCTGTAACATTTCTATCATATTATTGGAAATATTTATAAGTAAATGCCACTATACCTAAAATGTCTAAACAAACCAGTAAAACCTTTGCATGAACTCTGTATGAATTAAAAAAAATTGTGGTCTTGTCCTTTGAGTCATCAGCAGCTGTTAAGCTGAATACTGGAGCTCATGTATATAGAGAAAAAACAACATCTGAAGAGCCATAGTCTATCAATATAAGCTGTTGCCATGACGTCAAAGCCAACAAGTGACAGGCAGAAAGTGGATGGTAGTTGGGTGATCTGCCCAACAATTATTTGCATATGCCAGAACCAGTAATTGATGTAAGGCCACACCGATTTAATTTTTTGGATGACATCCTCGCGCGCATTGATTTTCGCTTGTTCTCCAAAAAAAAAAAATCATGTCTTTTGAGGCTTCACGGAACTCCGGAACTGGGCTGAAACTCGGTACAGACTGCCGACTCATGAATGCCGCAAAAGGGCGGCTTATCGTAAAACTTCTTTTGTACTTCCGCAAAACGTCAATTTTGTCGTAAATGAACCTTTTGCACATGCGTACTAGCTACAATGTAGACCGCGAAGTTTGGAAGATGTCGGCATTGTCCTCAAAATACGTCATGGCGAGGGGGATGTAAGGTTTGCCCAGCTTTACGAGCAACACGTGGTAGCCAAGGAGTATCGCCCGGACAGACGTCCTTTCCAGAGCGGCCACCACGCGTTTCCAACGATGAGAGAAATGGGAGAGGAGTCGAGGGCGGAGTCGAGGTGGCCTAAGTGGGTCAGGCCACTTCTCAGCTCAGTTCGACTGTTTCGTCCGTATACTTTGTTGTTGACAAAACTGCAACAACTAAAGCGAAGATTGTCAGCAGAAGTGAGCCTTTGAGGTAAGAATAGTTCAGTTATTTTTTGTTTGTTTTGTTTTTCTGATTTCGATTGAGAATCTGGGAACGCAGCAAAAATTTATGGGGAGGGGCGCGTACACGTGTTATCATACAGACAAAATAAAGTTGTCAATGATTTACAGTAGTTGTATGTAGATTATGATGTTGTAATCATATGGCAAATTTCCAACAAGATGCATTTCTTCATGCAAGTTTTTGTGGATTTTCAGTTGGGTGGTTTTTTTTAATATTGAGCTCTCGCAAATTTTAACAAAATTTCCTCTTTGAAAAATGATTTTTATTTCTCTGTTTCACATCCGTTTTGTGCAGGGCTCTTTCATGTAGTGCACCAGGTGTATTACTACTCTGCGCAAGTCAAGTCTAGGGCACTGACCATTCTGCCACTGGTATGCTGGCAGTGTGGGGAAACAGACACGCTCCCCATCCCTCCAGAGAAACTGCAAGAGTTTCAGTGCATTCACCCAGTGTGCCAGGTAGGTTAATTATTATTGTGTACCTCATGTTTTAATTGTACATTCATTCTCACCTGCATTAGTAATGTTGTAACTTACGATAGTATACACTTTATTTCAATTTTATTTGGAAACATACATTCCAAGTAAATCAATTTTGCATACCATGTCATTTTTCTGTAGGTGTGCAAAGCCGCTGGTGTTGGAGAGCGTACAAGAGTGAAGAGAAAGCTGAAGAGGAAGAGATCCTTAGAGAGGAAGAAGATGGACCACTAACTTTCAGGTGGTTACTGTTTCTGCTATACCTTTTACATTTTGCCCAAACTATTGATCTCAAACTTTTATCTGAAATCAATCCCCTTGTTGTATACATGCACTTCTACAGGGTATTAAGTATAAACTATATACTGTATATATAATGTTTATATCTACCTACAATGTAGGTCAAGCAATTACCTTTTTACGTTTTTCTGTAGGGAGAGAAAACTGCGAAGGAGGAAGCTGTGAAGGAGGAAGCTGTGAAGGAGGAAGCTGTGAAGGAGGAAGCTGTGAAGGAGGAAGCTGTGAGGGAGGAAGCTGTGAAGGAGGATGAGACCAGAATAAGACTATCTACATCGATCTACCTCCTGCAAATAAAGACTTGTTTGTTTGATGCAGTCACTGTGTCCTGTGGTTCAATCCGCATTATCGGCTTTGTATTCCTGTGGTTAAGCAGCATTTTTTTTTTTGGCTGGATTTTTTTTTTCGCCCTCTCGCATTAGTTTTGTGGTCCCCAGAGGATGTCATCCATAAAATTAAATCAGTGTGGCCTAAACAAAAATAGCAATCGCTTGTATGGGAAAACACTTGAAGTGTGACAAGTTTCAGTGTGAGCCCTCGGCCTTACCTTTGTGATGGCAGCTCCCCAAGACTTGCTCCTGACATGCTTGCCGCGGGTCCTGGGTAACAACTTGTGGTTTGGTGATCCCGGCGTGCAGTTGGACTGTTCATTAAACTGATGGACAAATAAAAATTCTTCTGTCACTAAATATGTTAAGAAAATGTCTTTAACATGTTGAATATAGCAGCATAGACAGGGAAAGCAACACAGAGACAAAGGAGACATAGAGAAAAGGAAACTTTTGAAGACAAAATAAAATATTTAGCACAAAAATTATGTACCTGTTTGATGTATTTTCTCTTCTTGTGCGAGTCTGGCATGGACTGGACGTGTGCGTACAGCTGTGCCAAGGCCAGGTCTGTCTGGGTCTTACTCTCTCCATCTTCATGTGGCCTCTTCTTGGCCTGGTGGGAAGGTCAGTGGAATAAAAGGATTAATACAGTCCTATTCCCTTCACCATGTATGTACGTTACCTTCAGTTTGTCCTGGATATATTCTTAGTTATAGCAGAATTTTGACCTGTGTTTTATAATTATGATATAATATAATACATGTATAAGAGGACAGTATATGGCTGTCCACTGTTTTAGGACGCACACAATTATGACAGACTCACAAACCTGAATAGGTTTTATTACAAGGAGAGTTACATTGTTGATGGTGTAACAGTATAAGAAATTCCAGAAGGTTTCTCTTACACTGAAAAGTCATGAACAGCTTCAAATTAAATCCCTGGAAACATCAAAATTTGATAATTTCATCCTATACCATCAGTGAATTCTGAACCTAATGAACTGAGAATTTTTGCTTTCTTGTTCGAATACATGTACATGTCCTGGTATTTTGAGAAGAAAAATAATTGGTTTGTTCATCAGACCAACAGTATGTCTGTAATGCTTAGATCCTTACTCCTAGCTCTAACAAAGACAACACCAAAAGGAAATGTACCCTGTTCTGGGCTACCTCATCTGAAGGTGACGCTGTGGTACTAGTACTCTGCTGGGTTTCAGTCTTTTCTTTAGCAGCGTAATACAACCTGCACTGGGCCCGCAACTGGGCAGGTGCCTGTGGTGGAGGAGGGGTTGAAATATGTCAGACTTAACTCACTTATAGATACTTAATGCAAAATACATATTTGCGGTGTCCTGATTTTATGTTTAAAGAGGAGAGTGGAAAATAAAACCATGGCAAAAGTAAATGCATTTACAGAATATAACAGGCAATGAAAGTATCATCAGTGTTCGAAATACCTGTCTGCAGTCTGCAATCTGCAGATAGATTTTCAAGATTGCAGAAGAAAAATTTATACAATCTGCAATTTTGCAGCAGGTAAAATTGGCACTTGTGATTTGGTGCTCTTGGCCCCAAGGACAGACAACACTTAAGCTCCTGTTCTGAAACAACAGGAGCTTCTTCACTAATTTACATCAAACTTGTCTTGACTTGTCTATCTTTTGTTTCCTTTTGTTCAATCAATAGTTAATGCTTATAAACTTGCAAGATTGTAGTACAGAGGCTTGTGTATTTGCAGAAAGTATTTCCAAAATTGCAGAACAAAATTCTGACTCTTCTGCAATATTGCAGAACACTGAAAAAAAGTATTTCGACCACTGATCATCATATGTTGGTATTTCTTGTTTTTAATACAGATTATAGACTAACCACATAGAATGTTCTTATGACACATTGCATGTTTAAATGTCTCTGCTATGTTTAATGTATTTAAGGCTACTTATCATTACAATATATTGGAATCTTTATCCATTCATTACTTTCCACAACGATCTTTTCACACAGTACAATTACATCCAAACAGACATCCTGATGTGGTTAACCCTTACCAGGAACACCCTCTGGGAGTGTTTGATGATGAAAGCCACAGCACCGTTCAGTTTGTTCACATTGTCCTTCAGGTCTGCAATGGTTAACTACAAATCAAGCCACAATTTGGGATTAGTAAAGTATGGTACAATAAACATACACATTACAGTCAGAAATGGTAGGAGTAAGGAGTCCAATGCAGGACACCATTTTTACACTTAAGTAAATTGCATCTCAAAGATGATAATTCATCTCTTGAAAGGACAACAATTCACCACTAAAAAGGACAGTTGGCTATAGGCACCTGGACCTGTACCTTAACTCATCTACAGGTGTACCAGTACCTAAAATTTGTTAATGTGCACAGTGAGCTCTCACTGTGACTGTATCACTTAGAACATGCATGCATTGCAACACTTGTATTTACAACTGTCTTCTGGCAAAAGTAATACTGGATACGTTTGTACTCACACTTCTTGGCCAGAGAACATGAGGAGCGAACATGACCCCGAGGTTGTGAGCAGACATCCTGTTCTTGTGGTCCTTCTGTGCCTGGGCAGTCCTGTACAGCAGGGACAGCACGGCTTGGAGCAGCTTACGGTTCACGTTGGGCAGCAGCCAGAACAGCAGCTGATACGTCTCAATCTGACGCTCCTTGTTGGGCTTGTCCGTCTTCACACTTTTGTCAAACAGCATCATATCTACAGGGCCACAGAAAAACTCCTGTCTTTCAAAATGGAATACTAGTACTTTTCAGAAATATAAATGATTCTAAAATAAAAATTACATAGACTTTACTCCTGGAACAAAAGAAAATGTTTCAAATTCAAGGCAAAGGAAGGCGACAGGCAAAGTGGTCTTTGAATAAAAAGGTTCTGGGTTCAAATCCCTATCAGGCCACAGTGTTGTGCCCCTGGGAAAGGTGTGTTATGCAGTTTGCCAGTTATGTAAAATAAACAAACAAAGTGCCCTCTGCTGACCTGGGACCTGGAGGTATGCTGGGTAATGTCGGGTGGTGAGCAGGGGTTCGGGCAACTCTCCCAGGAAGATCTTCAGCACGCTGGCCACATCGTGGGGCGTGAACTCTCCCAGCTCAAGGTCAATGTCAACCCCGCTGTTTAGGCTGTCCTTCAGCCGCTGCTGCCGGTGGGAGTTCCCAGGAATTCTGAAGATTCCCTCTACATGGGTATCTGTTGGTTGGAAATACAGCATGTCATTTAAACTGGACAGGAGAGAGATCAGCAAAAATGGAATGGAATATTAAGATGTTGATTAGTTCTGTGGTAAGAATGATTAAGTAATGGCCAAGCAACCTTTACATGACCCTATTAGATGAATTGTACTCTAACAGACTTAAGATGGCATTTCAAGAGAGATGAGGTTTGGAAGAGCCTGAAGAGGACTCTTCAAAGCCCATTACACTCAGGCTAACAATGCTTACAACAATGTAATAAGAACATTACTGATGAACGTACGATTTCCCAGAAAGTCGATCAGTTGATGGATCTGGGCCAGACCTTCTTCTGTCAGTGGGGCACCAAACACTCCACCTGCTGGGATACAACAGTACTGCAGGTCAGAACACAACAAACTTTTAGTTTAATTATACACCAAAAACCATCACTGGTAACCTGGAATGGCAAAGGTTGTGGAGGCTGGAGGTTGAAGTTTGCTGGCACTATCCCAGTTCAGAGGTAATACTACTAATAGTAGTCATACTGTACTTCCTTAGGTATTACTTGTGACTGTGGAAAGAAATGTTATTTCCAAGGACCATTTATGAACAGTGTAAAGGAACACCAGTTACATGCAGACTAGAACACTTACTCCCTACACCATGTGTATAACCAGGCCTGAATTGCATGCTGAAAACCACCACACCCCATGATGTGGCATCAGTTGGGTCCAGTCATGTATAAAAACTGCTGGCTATCAGAGCATGCAATACATTCCACACGTCACCCATAGCAACTTTGCAAACTTGCCAAGACTGCAACAGCAAAAAAGAGCAACCAAAAACTGAAGTGTACTATGGCTATGGCAACTGTTTCTGCATGCAAATGCTAAAGGAACACCAGAAGCACACATAAGTGCCTACTGTGCCTTCACCGCTTTGCCCTTTGTAACCGTGGGGGTCTGGTTACGTTTACTCACTTTGTTCAGACTTAAGTTTCCGCAAGGCAAGCCAAGTTGCCAGAACTGTGTTCTCAGCCTGTTGGGTCACTAAAGAGTGGGTGAGAAGTGACATGTCACCGTGTAAATTAGCCTGCTCCACTGACACATTTACATGGCAGCCAAGGGGGGACTTTACAACAGATGATACATCAAACTGTTTTGAAAGCAGCCTGCAGACTGATTTGAGCTGCTCGTGAATAAAGAATGGTTCAAACAAACACTGCCTACTCCTGTATTTAGGTAGATACTAATGACTGCACTAGTCCCATTTCATACAATAATAAGACATACATACTGTATTTCATTTGAAGAGATAAGATGCACAACCTATACCTGTCTTAAAACAAGAAACAGTGCCTATAATGTCCAACTCCTTCTCTATACACATGGGTAGTACCAAGGACATTGGTAGTACAATGTACATGTCTGAAGCACAGAAACAACATCTGGAACACACTTTGGGTATACAGTGTATGTGGATTGTGGACTGTATGAAAATGTGAAGATACTTTTTAGTTCTACATTGAGTGAACAGCTGGGGAATTTTTATTTTCTTTCTTTCTTTTGGACGAGAGCCTTCACATCTTTCCTTACCCACTTCTGTACAGTCCACCCATCAATACTCCCTCTAGGGTTCGTAAGTCTGAACAAACCTTTCTTCCTTGCGAGGAATCTCCTCCTGTTGTCCTTGACTGGACTGGTCCCCAGTACTCTACTCAGCTCAGACCCAGGCAGGTCCAGGAAGCGTGTCAGCATCCCTCCACACAGCTCCTTAAATGTCTCCGGGTCCTCAAACCGAAGCTTGTCCACCCAGTAGTCAGGGTTAGTGATCGCTGTAAAAAATGGTACAGGTGGAACCGTGGAATACTCTAAGACTTCATGGCATTTTCAACAATGAATTTCTCAATGGTCAGAATAGTAATGACACTATTACTACCTCCTATTGTTTGAGCTTTGGTTATTCATGAAATACTGAAACTATGGCTTCCTCTATAGTATAATTTATCTGCACATACTTAAAAGTCAGCTCGAGAGATTGTACCAGATCCATCTACAAATTCAGAGCTAGCATATCTTCTACACATGTACAGTAACAGAGTGCACATGTATCGTTGTCTTCCTCAGAAGAGATCATGTTTGGCAGTTAGAGATATTACATTTTTGGGCTGTAGCAAAATTCATGTGGACAACATTTGTCTTCACAAGTAACATACCACAACTTGAATGAAACTTGGGTTGGGATATTAGAAGACAGTGTCATCTTCTACTACATGCGTGCATTTCAAATTATCATGGTGTACTTACCTTGTGAGATTGTCTGCATTGATGGACCATCCATGCTGAAGAACTGTGCTACACCACTACGTTCTACCCAGCAATATGGTGGAAATTATGTTGCTCCGATCTAAACTGTGACTTGTCCTGGCTTCTCAAGACAACAAGGGGGTTCTGAAAACGGAGAACAAAGGTGTCGTCATGGAGCTGTTCGTCATCTATGAACAACGTTTATTTGTACCAGCTTCGCTGTTAGCATAACAATCAGACGAGATTAAAGACAAATACATGATTTGGGAAGGTATACATAACTGATCCACGCATGGTTTCTCACACGATTCGGTTCAGCTGGTAACGTACTAGTAAAGTAGATTTTGATGCCTTTTCAGCTATTTCTAAAAAAATCAAGCTAGCACCACTGGCTAAGGAAGCATTCCAATCAAAACAATGACTAAAATTTGCATCCCATTAATAACATTTCGTAATTGTATAGCTTATAAGTGAATTAAACTTGTTCTGGATGCCAAAAAAATTCAGAAAGCTTTCCTTACTTCACATATCCGCCCTCCCCTGGCCTAAGTTTCACCAGACGTCAGCGTTAATTGATAACCTTTCAGCGGATCAGATCGTTACAAACACATGAGACCAACGGAAGATCTCTCTTACCTTTGTTTTGCAGCTTGTGTCCTGTAGATACTCGAAACTTTAACGGCGTTCATCTGTTTGCTAAGCCATTCGTGTCAAGCTAGTCTCAACTTTCACCAACAGTACCTACTTTTCAAAATGGCGGCACCGTTTAGGTCATTAGTAAACTCTGCTGTGATTGGTTAGGACTTTGAAAATCTTGTGTTTGATTGGCTACTCTTTCCTGACGTCCCCAGCGCTTGCGGACTGGTACACTTTTTATTAGGTGTGTGCAAATTGTATCACAAAACATATTAGAACATTATTTTTCATATCAGCACGTACTTTATAAACATAGAATTATTCAAAATCATGAAAATACTTATTCAAAACTGTATTATAAGGCTAGTAACCGTTAATGCTGATTTTTTTCCACATGGGCGTTCAAGACGATAATGGCCTATTCCAAATATGGCGGCTTTCTTCAAAATCTAGGATGGCGAAGTCAGAAGTTTCTAGAGATTCTTGAAGATTTGTTGGTGGATCAAAGATGCAGTGTTCATTCCGACAGCTGAAGGAGAAGTCCCTCTCCACGGAGGTGACACATATGCAATGGAATCCCAAGATGGATCTACTTGCTCTTGCAAACACTCAAGGAGAGGTTCGTGTGTCCCAAAAAATTATGAAGCAAGGCGCGAAAAATTTTGTAGTGGTCAATCCCATGAGTGATTTATGTTCATACATTACATCCCCACAGTATTCATAAAGAACTGAGATTTTCGTCAGACAATTTTACACTAATTACTGTGTCTTGAAATTACCAAAAAGCTAGGAACATACTAGTAACTAGTTCTGTACTTGGCTCACATAGTAACACATGGAGCTATATAATTTCCATGGTAACGCCATGATCATAATTTACTGACCATTACTGAAAAGATTGATAGTAAAATTGCCATGCCATCACCTTGCCCATTGTTCTGCAGGTGTGGCTCCACCGTCTGAACTGGCAGCGGGTCTGGACCCTCTCACCGCCTGCAGGAGCCTCAGAAGGTCAGGGTGTCACAGGACTGGCCTGGAGACCGGACGGACAAGGTACTGCCAGGAGTAGCTCTGGCGCATGGCGATTCTTGAATCTGGCATTTTGCGGAATGACTTTTACATTGCCCGATTCAAGTGCTCAGCATACATGAATATCAAAGGGGTGCAATGTAGGCATGCTACTCGGAAACAAAGCCATTAGCCGAGAGGCTACTACAAACAAGTAATGGGAGAGTTCAGACTCCCTGGAAATATGCAGTCCTTGACTTCCTGAATTCCCCCATGTCGACCACAATAGCCTGCTGACTCCTGGCCAGATTCTGAGACCTTCACATTCACCCCATTTCCTCTCTCTGACCTTTTGAGCTCTTGTCATACAGCCAGTCAATCTTCCCCACGACCTTGTAACTTACTCTGTCCGGACAAACAAATACGGTACACAAACCCAGAGCTCAAATACCCAAAATAATACTTCAGTACCACAAGTAACAAGTACAATGGACTGAGGAAAAGTAATGTTTTATACATCTAAACACTTTTTATATATCCCAGTCAAATAATAATTTTTTTCAATGCACTTGCAGGTTTGAATCTTGGTTAATCCTCTTTGGTAACTTTGAATAATGTTATTTCTAATGTGTGTTGCAGTGCTGGGTGTTGGTTACCAGAGTGGGCAGGTGGTCCTGTGTGATGTAGAGAAGGCTGAGGTTCTGCACACGTCTACCCTGGCACACCCAGTCTCCTGTATGACATGGCAGGAGGCAGAGGACAAACACAGGTCAGAACAACAAATTGGAGATTCCCATCTACTTCAGGGAAGTTTGCAATCCTTTGCTTCCTGACTTCTCCCATATGACTGTCAGACCATTAATTCCCGCTGGCTTTTGGCTAGACTTGTGACCTCCTATCATTCTGCCATTCTACCCATGTGCTGTCAACCTACTACTGTGTAATGCTTGTGAGGAGTTTGATTATTTGAGCTTTTGTTTGTTCATGAAAAACTCATATAGTTTTATCAGCCTGCTGGTTAATTTTCATTGAGGTTTCACATGTTAGAACCTGCCATGTCAGTAGTGTGTCATATAGTTTTGTCATGGCTTCTGCACTTTGGGGACACCTTTTGTTATTTTAAGGTTTCGCATTCTTGATGACGTTCTGCTTTGTCTAAATTTTTCTTTTTCCTATAGCGCTAGCGGAGTGACAGCCTCCCCAGTCCATGTGGACCAGTCATCCTCCCCAGCCTCCAGTCAAACCACACCACAGGATACAGCAGCAGAGTTTCTCCCCAGGCTCACACCACTACCTAAAGGGTATGTTGATAAAGATTAGACACCACTAGCAAAAGGGTACGTTGATAAAGGTTAGACATCCAGGTAGAGCATTACGTAATGCACAACTAAATCAACCAACTGCATATATTCTTTGATGAGTCAGACATTTCAGGTAGCGTTCGCTTTCTTTCATCAGTGACTGAGGATTTCAGTCAGAAAGATAGCAGATGCAGTCTTGACTGGAATATTATACATTGTAGTTGAATATGTGCAGAGAAATGTTTATGTAGTTCCTGGCAGGACCTTGTAGTTCTATACTCATATCTGTGTGTTACTCTTTTTCCCAACAGGTACAGTGCCACAGACAAAGCTAACAGGTATGTGTAACACTGGCCATCATTAGTGTTCTTCATTCCTTGATTTTTAAATGAAAAGTATGTTTCTGAAATATCTTCATCATACGATAATGTTGACTTTGTTTGCACAGTGAGGAAGAGGTTGTGGAAGATAACAAGAGACTAAGTAGTCAGACTAGGTAAGTTTGTATACCAGGTATATGTATGATACTCTCCATCTAGATCTAAAATTATTAACTTGTGGTAGCAGATATTTGTATAAAGATTTACAGTGTACAAGAATGTCATAGCTGGTACAGAATTACATGTAAATGCACTATTAACGAACAATCCAGCATTACATGTACCATTTAGTTGCATAAAACCAAGTCACCATTAAGGAATGTACTTGAAGAGGCAGATATCTTTCTTGATAGATTATACTAGTATCAGATCTAGTTGTAACATGATCATGACACGATTCTTCTTTTACAATGTTCTTGCAGGTTGAACATTCTGGTTGTGGGGGATGAGGTAGGCACTGATTCTGCACATTCAACATATTTGCATTTGAGGCATTGAACTAGTTTTGGATGATACCCACAGGATAACTGAAAATGTACAAATGTAGCTAACATCGTATATTTTGTATCTTACCCCTTACCCCATAGGTTGGAAGTATTTATTTACTTGCATATGGACTATTTTCAATGGGACAACTTGCACCAGAGGAGCACCCTCAAGCCAAGGTCAGAAACAAAGAGACTCAAATATTGTAATTTTTCCACCGTTTTCCTGACTAGCGTAAGGAATACATTCCTAGAAATTGTAGAACACAGTTCAAAGTTGTAATATTGCTGCATTGTTTTGTTGTTGTTCCACCAGGGAGGTCGGCTGTTGAGTGTGACCTTGTCCAGTGACCTTCAGTGTCTGTCAGCAGTGGTACAGCACCAGGCATCAGCTGACACCTCACAGTCTGACCACACTGTCTGTCTAACTACTGTAAGTGTTACAGGCTTCATGTAATTGAATTTAGTCTGTATTAATGCTTTAGTGCCCTCTCTTAGAATCCTCACAGGCAACAGAAACAAAGCAGTAAATGCAAACAGTGATTGCAGTGAACACAGTATTTATTTCTAATAGAAGACACTATTTTGTTGCACCTACATTCTGTAGAGAAAGTAGAAAAACCAGAAGGGTCTGGTTTGAGTTATTATTCCAGTTCTGTTACATCTTGATGATAAAAAGTCATGTGTGGATGTTGATTCTCCCCCCAGTACAACACTGCCCTGTTGGCTACACGGAAGCAGGAGCTTGCTACTTTAGGCATGAAGTACGGACAGGTTGCAACAATTCTTGGAGTAAGTCACTCGTGTCATTTTTCTGCTTGACAAATTAACAGGGGAGAGAAAATTTTATTTTGACATGTGTAAATGTGAGATTATATTGCATATATAGCCGTATACTAAGTTCTGATAGACTTTAAGTATATTTTATGATGTTTCACATGATGTTGTAGTACATGGAGAACACACTACGGTCCATGTCAGAAGCATGGGAAGACATCCTACTGGAGATGGACAACAAACTGGCCAAGTTTGCAGAGGTAGTTTTCAGTTTCATCCCATCCAATTTATTTGCAGTTCCATTACTGGTATAAGGCTTAGTAATGTACCAGTTTCCACCTCTTCCATCCAAGAGACCACTTGGTCTATTACTTTTTTGCATGATAAAGGGGCATGTTTAATCTAAGGGTCGACATACAATCAAAGATGAAAGGAAAATGTAACTAAAATTGTCAGGTATTACAGATAAGTTCTAACCATAAGCTTGTCTCCAAGTTTTGCATGTGATGAATTGTTTATTTACGATATTTCCCTTCAGACCATTGACAGTAAGGACCTTGACTGGCAAGTTAGTGATGAGTTCCTACAGTTACTGATGTGGGGTAAAGCCAGGTGGGTCTTATTTGTTTCTTACGTAATGAAGTTCCTTAGTACATGTATTTGATTGCGTTTGCTTGTTGCTTCTACATGTAGTTTCAATTATTCTTGCATGCTGTTAGTATGATATTCTGTTTTACTGACCTGTGGAAGAATCACTAAAATGTGTATTTTGCCAATTGTTTCAGTCATACGCTTTTCAGCACTTTGCTTCTTTAAATTGTAACCTACTTTGTTTTGTCTCAGTCCTGAGCTCCAGAGTTTCCTACTGAATACACTAACTGAGAAGGTAGGTGATATGTGGTAATTTGCTGTCATAGTTGATATAATACAACATGTTGGTTGTAGTTCAACACTAGGGATGATAGATGTGCAGGTTTTGAGATATAACAACATATCTTCCCATTACTGTCTGTCACTGGTCAGTTGAAGTAATATAACATGATACTTAAGTGTTTTCTGTGACTGGTAAGAAAGGTCGTTTAAGAAAGTTGAAAACACTTGAAACACTTGATGTTAAAAAAACATGTCATTTATGTTAGGCTGACTTTGATATAACAAATTGTATTTCTGTCTTCCCTGAACAGGGTCTGAAGAAACTTGGCTTGTCCATTGACAACTCCTACTCCAACATTGAGAAACTGGTGCTGAATCATCTTCAGAGGTAGAGTTTTCAAGTAAAAGCTTTTTACAACTACAGAGGATTCAACAGGACCAGCTCCTTCATTCCTAACCCTTAGTTACTAGTATCCACAGGAGCTCTGATTCATTGAATTGTCATTGATGCGCTGGTATGTAGAGGGTTAAATGACATGTATCATTGAAAGATAACACTGCTGTATTTTTTCTTTTTAGAGCTGGACAGGCTCTTTTGTTTCATCTGAGTGAACTGAAGGGTCTGTCTCTGTGGTATGACAAGTATGGGATGTTAGGACTTAACACACAAGCTGTACAGGGTATGTGTTACTTCTTCTTTTAGTAACGTTAGAAGAGTTGAATCTGCTAATGATAATGCCCATTTATTTGGGTCAAAAACCTTCTGCTCTCCCTGCCCAAAAATCTCTCTTGCACCCTCTCTTCTGTTGATGTTTTGTTAGAGTTCAGACAAAACAGTTTTGATATATTGCCTTGCCTGATCCCTAAAATTTGCTATTTCTTCCCCCAACCCACCAGAGGCATGGAGCTGTGCAGGGTCCTTCATGCTCAAGGCCAACGAGCTTCTGCAGTAAGTAAAATTTGCTGATATCTCTTTTTTTTTCTCATGCATGTAACTTCAGGTTTTTATTTTTTCATTCCTAAATTTTAAAGAAATATCTTTTACAAAATTCTTCTGATTTGTGGCATGTAGAGTTGTAATAATGAGAGTTGTAATAATCTACATGCAGATGTTGGGGTAGATAACATTCTGTCTTGTTCACCCCAACATTTTCCTGTAGATTAGTAAACACAGAATTTCCTGGTTTTAACTTCAACTTCTTTCCTCCACAGAGTAATTGATAACAGCATGAAGAATTTCAAGGCCTTTTTTCGCTGGGTCTATGCTGGTAAGCACAGTGGCTTTATTATTTGTACCACACTGTAAGAGTACATTATATTTGAATTTCATGTACATGTATATAAAGGACTGCTTTGAAGTGAAGAGAGGACGAAATCACAGGGATGTGATTTCACAGTAGGAGTGAAAAGGGAGTTTCACAGAGTTTTAAGTTGGTGGAAGATACTAGTACAATAATCTAGCACAACAGATATTCATGGTGTTTTCAACTGCAAAAACTGTGAAGTCACTGCAAACACTACAAGATTTCCAGTATTTATGTTATAGTCTGACATGTAAAGTTTGTATGTTCTCTAGTGATGCTGAGACTAGCAGGGGAGCAGGTACCGTCTGAGGTCAGTAAGATGTCCCAGAAGGACCTGGCCTTCGTAGCAGAGTTTCTACAGGAGAATCTCACAGAGGTGAATCTTCACTTGGACTATCCTCCATCTATGTTCTTATCTTCAGTCAATCAATCTTTCAATCAATTGATGATGTACCTGGTCTCAGCAACCATTCAAGGGATCATTTAAGGAAAATTGGTTTCTTAGGAGGAGTCTATGGTAGTTCAAGATGATACTTTGTACAATGTGCTTCACTTATATTTTTATCATTGATTACCCAGTCTTGTGAAATGGTTGTTGGGTGGGGTCTAAATACAACAGTTGGTTGCTTAGCAAATACATGTATATAAATTAGATGGAAATTACTGTCCTAAGTCCTAAGTGTTTCAAATAAACTCCTACTTACAAGTGTCCACATAATTTTTTTTCATATGTTCTGTATTTTGTAGGAGACACCATCTCCAGGAAGACCCAAAAGATTCAATCTTGAGAAAGTTGGTCAGTATCTCAACAAGAAGGATGAAGATCTTCCATTTCCTCAGGTAAAGGAGAACATGTACTTGTCATCTGAAGAAGCAGAGATGATGCATCACTTATGTTACTTGCTAGCAATGTACATGTAGTTAAAAATGACAACTTGTGTGAATTTATATTGACTTTGACAGTGGATGATCATTTGAAAAGTATGCTAAAGTATCAAAATAGCTTATTCCTCCCCATTCATAATTATGTTTTCAAGGAAAAGTCGAATTTCACAACAACATGACTTCAATATTTTTTAGGACTTGTCAAAGATCCCTTGGGAGACCTTCATGCAGTCAAGTACATATCTAAAAGGTGAGACATTACTGATGCCTTGCTCTATCCAATGAGATGCTCATGGCACCTATGTAAAATAGCTAGCAACATTAATTGTGTGTTCACGATGTTTATTTGGTCACAGGGAGTGAGTTGCTGTTTCCACACCACCAGAAAAAGTCGCTGTATCAAGTCTTCAACATAACTAAGACAGCTGTGGAGAGAGCACTGGAAGGGCCTGCAGTAAGTACATCGTATACAGAGTGAAATGGCTGTAAAGTTGGTCAAGCTGCATCTTCAGATGATGGTAAAAGACGACAAAGAGCAAAAGCATTCTTCTTGTTTTGTTGTTTTTGCAGGCAGTGATTGGGAGGTCCTTCAACTGCTTAGGAAGCCTGCCCTTGTATTCTATGGTTAAAAGGTAAGGTGTTGAGGTGAATAAGAACGGTCATATATGTACAGGGCTAAGAAAATAAAACAAGCTAAATATGTGTACTTTTGATGAATTGTTCAATATAAGATCTATAACCATTAGGGATGTATAGGATGTGCTATTGTCTGGGTTTTGATTTCACAGAGGTGTGGATACTTGGATCATGAGACATGCACATTGTAACATACTTACTGTGGCTTTTCCATTGAAGGGGAGACAGCCAACACAAGAGGCTACCAGTTCTTCCAATGAGCCAGTAAGTGCAATCATCATACATGATACGACTCTTGAAGTTATTAGGCAAGATTGTCAGAATGTATTACACTGTAGGAAGTTCTTTTGGGTATGAGACTGGTACCTGGCAAAATAGACTTACTAGAAGAAGAACAGAGTTGATTGAAGAAAAGAGTTGATTGCATTGTTCCTGTTGATGTTTTTGTTCAGGTTCAGCGGTGGTGAACCTCGCCATGTTTTCACACTGGTGATTCCTGACCAGGACACCCTCAGCAGAATCCTGGTCATCAGGCACCCCACCCAGCTGCACAGGTCGGAACTGCAGGGGGATTTTTTCTTGTATAAGCTATGACATTTCTGACATGATTGTCACTGTAAAACTTGAAATGTTCCTGGTGGTTTTCTATTCTTGGAGTCTTTCCTTAGTACTTGAAAGTTTGTGATTGTGGATTTTTATCTTAAGCAGCTGCAACTTGATATATTTTGTTTCTCACATGCTAGTGAACTTCTTGTGATGGAGGGGGCGTGGTTAAAGGTCGGAGGTCAACTAGGAGAGCAAGAAGCAAAAAGGTGCCATTAATGCATCATTTCTACAAAGCAATTGAAAGTTTTCAACTCAGTCCTCTGCAACTGGATACATTCTTTAAATTTGAAACATAGAATACTTTATTTCTAAATGTTTTGCTTGCCTGTGTGACACAAGCTCTGACTGTATGTTGTGCTGACCAGTGGAAGGGCTGCTTGAAGCAGCATTTAATATGCAGGCTAATGTTTTATGTTATATTATTTTGATGTGAAATTTTGCTCTTTTATCATTTGGCAAAATAGAATGAAATATGTATCAGTTATACCTTACTGTTACCTCACTCTGTCCACCCCAGATGCAGTTCCCACAAGATCCTAGACGTCTCGTACTATGATGAGGGGACGTTAGCACTGCTGCTGCAGGAGGGGGAGGGGGAGTGCTGCCCTGTCCTGGCCCTCCTCCCCCTCATGGCCCTGGATGACTGTGGGTTTGCAGTGTTGGAAGTCTCACAGACATTCCCTCTAACCGCAACTGTGGCCTCCATCGGAGATAGAGTGTGAGTCAGTCTCTCTTCATTGTCAGTTAAGAATACAAAGCTTCCTATAAAAATCACCTGTCTAGACTATAGCAGTTATTTATGCAGTTTTGTATTCTCAACTTATGGGTTTGGAAGTTTTATTTTGGGGTGGCTAAGCTTTGGGTTTGTCTGGTTGACAGCATGTGGGTGGGGAGAAGATGGACGGGCAGAATCACAGGTCAAAATGCCAGACACAGCAGTGGTCGAAATACTTTTTTTCAGTGCTCTGCAATATTGCAGAAGAGTCAAAATTTCGTCCTGCAATTTGGAAATACTTTCTGCAAATACACAGCCCCCATATTACAACATTCTGAAACCAATAATGCCTATTTTACATCATATATACATGTATATAACGGTATAGCTTTGTAAATCTGTAGCATTACTGAAATTCTTCAAAATATCACTCTTTTAAATATGTTCGGACCGTAAAATTTTATCGGTCCGGTCCAAAAAAACCGAAACGTCGGTGGACCGGTTTTTTTTGACCGGAACAAAAATCCATATTTGTTGTTACTGAATAACTGATGATCACTACATAAAAAAGAAGCCTGCCAGGAAAATGAAAATCCAGCCTTCAAATAAAAGAAGTTTACCTTAGTCTCCGTCTCTCTCATTTTGCAACAATATTTTCCCGTATTTTGGTACCGATAGTCATCTAGAAATCATAAAGGACAAGTCTACGGGCCGTGCTTGGTTCGGATCGAGCCGAAAATCACTGATATTTTACACCATATGGTCACAATGTGATGCACGTAAATTTTCACTCGAAATGAGAAATTACCGCCCAACAAAACGGACCATATAGGTTCCCAGTGCTGTATTTCCCTTTTGTTCATGTGATCAACTTGTTTTCTTTGCTTGAATCGTGCAAAATACCAAGGAAAAACATCGAAATTTCGGCAAATTAACGCCGAGGCGAGTGTGGTTTTTCGGAGGAGCCATGTTTCCTTTGCCGTGTTGCCTGCTGGGAAATGCTCAGTGAAAATTGCCGAGGCAGTTGTCGGGTCCTCCCGGGAGACGAAATCTAACATCGAAAAATGGCGAGTGCCCATATTTGGTTATCGTCGCCTTTCGTCGCCTTGTCAAAATCGTATAACTTTGACCCAAATTCCCTTATATGGGACCATTACAGTCTGCTGGAAAACGCCGGCAGGTTCGTGCGACGCAGGTTTTCGATCTATTCACAGCGCCACTGCTTTGCTAATTGAAAACTATTGAATCCGGAGCCTATTTTTTCGTTCTGCAAAATTGCAGATTGTAAGATTTTCTCTTCTGCAATCTTGAAAATCTATCTGCAAATTGCAGACTGCAGACGGGTATTTCGAACACTGCACAGTAAATGGGGTGAATCTGAAAGTCATGAAGGACCTTCCTAGAAAGTACTTCCTAGAAGTCTGAAATCTCTGCTTTCTTGTTGTGTGCAGAGGACTGTGCATGTATGATGTGGGCCACCAGATCACTCAGTACCGCTACCTGGAGAATGCAGACCCTGGAGTCATGGCAGTGGGTGGGGAGAGGAAAGTGGGAGCTGTGGTAAGGACTACTGTTCTGATCAGACTCTCCATACCCTAGCATAATCAAGTTTTTGTTGACCACTGGCAAGGGACGTAAAATTTCTGATCTGACATCTGAGTGTTGAAAACGTTGCAAAATTGTTTTCCAATATGTCCTCATTTCTGAAATTACCGTGGTACTGGTAGAAAAAGCGACAAAAACAGCACTTTACTGTAGTTGACATTTTGCTTCTTTGTTCAGTTTATTAATGCACTTGTACAATGTACAAAGTCATGTATGTCTGTAAAATTAGAATATGATGCTGAAAATACAACGTGCTGCTGGCATTTTAGTTTTGTGTTGTCCTATTTTACAGCTGTATGGTCACCAGCGCCGGTTGCGACTTTTTGACATGAATGCAGAGGAAGAAGGGGACAGTGATGAAGACATCAGTGATAACGACATGCAGGATCTCAATGAGACAAGATGAGCCCAGAATGATAAATGTAAAAGTAGCCATTTGTCTGACATGTAAACTGTTACATTTTGTATGTCTGATGTGCATTAAAATGTGTTGCATATTCTTGAAGGACATCCCTATACTTTTAGAAGTTTTCAGTGTCGTTTTTACTTTTTCTATTATTAGGTCTATAGAGTCTATACACACAATGGAGGAAAGGCTTCAAATTTTTCATATACAAGCAGGGCATGATAACAAGATGTGTTATACTTTGCTGATATGGTGCAGACATATTTGGAGCACTAGTTTTGTTTTTGTTTTCACTTCATCTTTATTGCAGGCTTTGTACTCCTTCTTTACCTAGTAGGGTAAAACTGAGAGTAGGAGTCCCAGTTACATAACTAGGATGGCAGCCAGGCTGGCAGATTCCTTTCTCACGGGAAGTGGTCTCACTAGGTAGACACTGATAAATTGCGGCGTGCAATCTGCTTGGCAGCCTCGGAGATGTAGTCTTTATACTCGCCAGGCGCGATGACTGAAGAACGCTTGCGTGACCTGGCAGCAAAGGACTGAGCCTCAGGCTCGGGCCCAGACACCTTCACGGCCATCAGGTTTGACAGGATGTCTCCTTTGGTCTGAAATAATACCAGTCTTGCTTATACATCGATGAAGGTTAGACTTCCAGGTAGAAAATTATGTAATACAAAAGAGGTCAAGCAACTGGACAAATTCTCAGACACTTCAGATTCACCATCTTTCTGTAGTGACTGACAAAGATGAAAATGTGGAAAAATCTACACAAAATGTTACTTGCCCACATTCACCCTACATTTTTTAAATATCCCTTTTCATCACCCTCAATCAATAATAGAATACAGAAGCATTTGTAAGAATCCAAATCCTTCCCCACACCAGATTGTGCATAGTGTAATTCCCATCTCTGTTTCAGTAGGGAATGTTGCACAATCACTACACCAGGGGGATAGTCCACTTGTAGTGGTGTTTGTGTTCAAACGTCTTTTGTACGACTTGGCTAATTGAACTCTAGACCTACTACTACTACTAGTATATGCGAGGCAAACTCTCCACTCACTTGGTCATTGCACTGGGTTTGTAAGAACAGTGAAAAGCACACATTACCCCCAGGTTTGGGTCCACTGAGTCCTCTGCTATGAGCCTGAGCTTGGCCAGCATGCGGGAGGAAGAAGACGACTGCTGGACCTCTGTTCTCTTCTGGTTCAGGCCATGAACGGTAGTGAAGATCTGTAAACAACATGACAGGCATGATTGTGGGAGAGGATAGCAAGGATAAAGTTTACTGACATAATTCTGCCAGGTCACATATTTGCCACCTAGAAAGAAATGTGATTCAACATCCCCCAGTACAATGTACTAGAGATCTCTATCAAGCACACTGTCTTTTAAAGTGTCACATATGTATCCTGATGACTAAATGTTACAACGTTAATAGAGGTTGCATGGATAATGCAAGAGGTGAAAAATTTGCACAAGAAAG